GCAGACATTCGCGCACTCCTGCTCTTCAGTCTCTGCTCCATTTTCGTTTTTCTATTTACGTATTTTCGCATTTTATTATATTTTATTTGGCTGGCAGCAGCTGCTCAGCTGCTCTCTGCTCTGTTTTCAATAACTGTGAATAAAATGAATAGATGGCACCCATTGGCAAAATCTTCTTGCCCCGAAAATGCTTGCGGCCAGACGACGGACAAACAGCCACTAAGGCGTTTTTGTGTTCCCGATGCGGTTTATTAAAAATAATATACATTTTATGTAGCTATATGAATTTTAATATATATACAAAATAGAAGAGAAAATCAAAATAAAAAGAAAAAGTATAGAAAAATAAAAACATTCTATAAGAATTTAGTTGAGCTCAAAATTTAACAAAGTTTTGCAGCTGGCAGCCAAAGGCCGTTGGCCAGATGTCAGCTGAAAGTGGGCAGCTTGCAGTTTTGTGCAAATACCATACACACACCTCTCTCTCTCTCTCTGTGGGTGTCTGTCTCGTTCCCTCTCTTTTGCCCACAGCTTTTCATTTGGCTTTGAGGTTTTTCCCGCTTCTGTTTTTCTCATATTGCGCATTTGCATTTGTATCTGAATCCAGGGCAGCTCAAAGATTTATTTGTCAGATACGCTTTGGCTTGATTTATGAAGGTGTGCGTGCGAGTGTAGAGTTGCCCACTGGGGAGCTAACGAGCCGAGTGCGCGACCTCCCCTATTCACCCTAAACCCTGATAAGCTCAGCTGCCCAGCAGTAAGCTGTCAAACTTCAGCTCTGTCTCAGCTGTGTCCAACAAAAAAAATAAAAACGAAAAAATGTTGAGACACATTCAAAATTTCAAAATACCAAACTGAAGGGGAAGCCGAGGGAACACGGCTGCAGCGCGAGGGGATGGCCCACCTGTCGCTGAACAAGGCGCCGCCGCCATTGAATCCCCATCAGCCCGTGCTCTATATCGAATGCTGTCGCGCCCAAACAGACTATCGGAAGCGGGCCAGCGAGCTGCATGCCTCGCTGGCGGAGGCCCTGCGCGCCCTGCAGCCGGACTTGCAGCTGCAGCTGCGCATCAATGAGAACAACATGCCACGCCTCGGCGCCTTCGAGGTGGCCATCGCCACGAGGCCCACCGATGACCATAGCCAGCGACAAGTGCTCTGGACTGGACTGCAGCGTGTCCCCGTCTCCGCAAAGGTGCCGCACGTCGACGACATCATAGCGCCCGCCTGCATGGCCCTGAAGCTGCGCCACAGCCAAGCGGGCACCAGCAACATTGACCTCGTCCGCACCAGCGATGGCGACATTAGGAAGATACTGCAAAGACGCAGTCTACAGTAGCCTCAGTATAGGTCTCGATCTTCGGTTTCACTTTTCCACCTCAGTTTCCCCTTGTCAGCAAAATTGAATATTTTGAATTAAATTGACAAAAAATTATCAGTGACTTGATGTTTTCAATAACTGTTAATATTACTTAACTATTAACAGATAATAACCTTCGTTATCTATACACAGTTTTCTAATTATACTAAAATAACTTATTTACCTGCAATTTTCTCTATGAATATAATTATTTTACTCCATTTTGCATGCGCTTTGAAGTGCTTCATAACATTTTCCTCATACTTTTTCAACTTTTCCTTTCTTTTCCCACCAATTTTTTCGCAATTAACAAGTTATAAAGTTTTTCTTTGTGCATTAAGTGCATCAGGATCGGCAAGAACTTGTATAAAAACTAGAATGATTGCTCGACTAGCAGATATACTTTAAATGTACTGAACTAAAATGCCAAGTTTTTATATAAGGCGTAAAACAATATTCATTAAAATATGAAAAATGAAATATAAAATATAAAATATAAAATATAAAATATAAAATATAAAATATAAAA